CTCCTCCTCCTCCTCCTCCATCTCCGCTCCCACCCTTGTCCCCTGCTATGTCGAGGCCCCTGCAGGCAGTGCAAGGCCGCAGGAGTTGCCCCTTTGGAACTTGTGTGTGTCACCCTGGCTGCTCTGCCTGTTCCTCCTGTGCTGTGTGCCAGGTGGGCTGGCGTCTGTGGTCTCCGACTCCTCCGTGTCCACTTCTCCCTGCTCCCCTCGACTTGCTGCCACCCCCCCCCCCCACTGGCACCTGGCCTCCCCAGCAGCCCCTCTCAGGCCGTGTGCTCTCTCCTCACTCAGTTAGTTCTGTGCACTTTGCTGAGTGATTCCAAAGTGTCTGCACAGGGCCCTGGGAAACATGATGCCATGTGTGCATGACCAGCACATTCCACAGCCCCAAGGAGCCCGACTCTGATTAATGATTGTTTCCAGATTGCCATCCTTGGAGTCCACACTGAATTTTCCCTGAAGGTGACCTACGCCCTTTGAAGCTTGGGACTGAGGACGGACGGACCCCTCCAGGGTGGCGCTTTGTCAGCTCAGCTGTTGATAGCGTGGGCTTGGGCTTGCAGAGGCCCCGGGGTCTCTGGCTTTTGGGCTGGGTGGGCCTGAGCCAGGGTGAGCTCCAGGGAGAGGACGTCTCCACTGTCCTGCAGAGGTCCAGGGCATGTGGCTCCGGGAGGGGAAGCCTGAGGGTGTGGGTGCTGCAGACCCCCGCCCGGGGTCTGGTCATGGTGAGCGGCACAGAGCGCATGATCTCAGCTGTCCCCGGTAGCTCTGGGGACCCCCACCCTCTTGCTTGAGCACTGTGTGGCTTGCAGGCTTCCTGCCCAGCGGCTCGCAGGTCAGCTGTGGTCGCTGTGGGTTGACTGCTCACCCATGCTGTTGCCACGGCACGGGGGACCTGGGACTCAGGGCTCCAACCCCGTGGCACCGAGTGGGCTCCAGCCAGGGCGGAAGGTCCCCTGCGTCTCATGTCCTGAATAAAGATGCCACCCAAAATGCGAGCAGCCCATGCCCATGGCGCTCCTGACCCTGTCGCTCTCGGCCTCACACAGTGGCCTCTGACTATTGTGTACGTCTGTGTGGTACCCAGCATGGTGCACAGCTGGCTATAGAGGCTGAACACAGCTGGGCTGGAGACCCCTCGACGACAGAGTCAGGGCTGGGGTCAGGTAACCCCTCACGTGGAGGGATGCAGTGCGGGTAAGCATCCCAGGAAGGAGAGGAGCTCCTGCCATCCGGGAACGGGGTGGGCAGCAGAGAGGCTCTGCCGGTCAGCGGAAAGCTACAGAACTGGAGCTGGGGGCAGTGCGATCCTCTGATGGGCTGACTGACAGAGGAGCCAACAGGTTCTTCCTGTTCTGTGGCTTCTTCTTTTCTGATAGCTGAATAGAAGCAGAGGTGCTGGCAGGTGGTGGGTGGGACTTGAGTCAACAAGTGCTCAGCCTGGGTGGTGGGAGGCATCTGCCGGAGGCCAGAGCTCTTAGAACCTGTGCCTGCCCAGAAGGGCTGCAGACCCTGGGGCGCGGTCTCCAGTCTGCATTGATGCTGTGTGCAGGCTGAGGCCTGTGTACTTGGACCCTCTCTGAGCTCCCGCTGCAAATGCTTAGCCCATGGCTGTGGGCAAGGTGCTGACACGTGTGCCGCCCCAGCACTCAGATGGGGTCTGTGCAGCTGCCAGGCAGGTGACAGCTCCGCCTCACTCAGCTCAGGGGTGGTGAGGGTGGCTGGATGGACACGCAGATGGCCGTAGCCTCTTCCAGAGCACCTGAGGTAAGGGCTGCCCCGAGCCTTTCCAGACCTGAACAGCGAGGGGAAACTTGTCTCCCTGAGCTTTCACACCTCCACATTTCTATGGAGTTAGGAGAATTGGCCCAAACCCCGAAACTCACAGCCGGTGAGGCAGAGGCTCTCGCTGTAGGGTAAGAGCAAGTGGTGCAACTGCGCTTTCCCGTATTCAGTGGGATGCGGTGAGCCATGGTCTGTAGGGAAGCCACCAGTCTGGAGTTTCCGTTTCACATCTGGGGAAATGGGGCGAAGGGCAGGCGAAGGCTGTCCCGGGAGAAGTGTGTTGTGCAAGTCTGGTTTGGCCAGCAAGGGACTCGTTCTGAACAGACTTGGCACCCTGGGTTCTGGGGGAGCCAGGCCCCCAGGGTCCAGGAGCCTCACAGCGGGCTCTGAGCAGAGGTTAGTGGGAAAGGCGTCTGAGGTGTGCACCTCATGAGGCCCAGGGTTCGGGAGCTGGCGAGAGGGCTGAGGTAATGGCCTCGACCAGAGGCCTGGAACCCACGGCTGGCGGACACAGCCCCGCGAGAGTCTTGGCCTTGCCTGTCTTCCTAGGGAGTGCCTGAGGCCTGGTGGGATAGGACCCTCCTCTTGGGTTGTGGCTGCAGATGGGTCTTCGGAAGGGGCCTCTCCGTCCTGTGGGAGAGGCCTCCTTTTGGTGGAGCTGCCGACATCAGCGAGGTGGTCCAGCTTTTGGGGTGTGGGCGAATTTGTCGGGCAGTGTGAGGGATGTACCATCTCAATATAGCTTGGGGTTGGTTCACGTAAGCGATTTTCAAGTGAGTGGAGTTGTTGGCACAACTTTAGTAACAAGGCAAGTGGGGGCGAGTGTGCAGCTGCCTCTGCCTGTGGTCTTGGTTGGGGGTGATTGCGGCACTGTGAGCTCTTTCGTTCCTGGTGGGGCGAGGGACCTGGCACGGTTAGGGTTGGTGGCCTGTCTCCCGCTCTGCTGGGTGCGCCTGGTGTGTGCCCCGACACTGTGGAGGTGGTGGTAGCCACGGGCTTTGAGCACAGCTTTGCGTGACTGAGTCAAGTGCCGCTTGCGTGTCGGGCTGGGGGTGGTCTGTGGCTCACTACCCTCTACAGCTGGGTGGGCACAGTCCGGGACCCGCCTCTGTCCGGGCTGTGTGCTAATCCTGTTCTCCCCTCCTCAGCCCCCTGCCGCCCTTGCAGCAGTACTGAGGTCCTCCTTGCCGTCTGCACCAGCGACTTCGGTGAGTGAGTGCTCCATGGCTCCTGCTTTGTGGGGAGGGAGAGCCTTCCAGAGCGGGCATTAGACTTCCTTGTGGGGGAAGGAACTGAGATGTGCACGTGGCCTTCCCCGGGCCACAGGAAAAGGTGCTGTGTGCACATCTGTGCAAACCAACATACAAACATGCAGATGTACACATGCGTCCACATCTACACACACTTGGGGCAGGGTGCGCACACACATGCACACAGAGCTGGGGTTGATATTCTGGTGACTGTCCAGTGTGTTCCTGAGCAGCTGGCCCCTGGTGCTCTGACGGTCCTGCGGTGCCCAGCAGCTCTCTTGGAAGTGCTCTGTGAATGCGTTCCGTGGACAGCCTGGACTGTCCCTGTGCTGGCCCTCACCTCAGAGATCCTTCCATCCCTCTCCCAGGTCCCCTGCTGTCTGGCATTTCGAAGCCCTGGCGAGCTCAGGGACATGGAACACAGACTGCCCTGCCTGGTGTGCATAGACCTCGGGGGAAGACGTGGGTTGAAGTGGGTGCTCACCTGCCTGCTGCCATGGTGGTGCCCACGCTAGACCAGGGCCCAGCTAGTGCTGCAGCTCTGAGTCCCTGCAGAGGACTCAGATACAGCTCTGAGGACTGCTTGATGGGTCCCGGAGTGGGCTCTAAGCGCTGCAGGGGTCTGCAGGTGTGGCCTTGTTGGAGCCTCTAACACCAGCCCTCCCCTCCCCTGTCCTCATGTTGCTATCTGAGCTGCACTGTTGCCTCGTGCGGCACAGAGCGCATAGCATCTTATGATTCGCCTGCTTCTTTTCTCTTTTTTTTCCCATTAAGTTTATTGGTACATGTTAGGTATAAAATACAGTTACATTCATCATTGGGATCTTGTACCTTTACATGAGTATCTTGGTTCTTATTTTTTCCCCTTCCCCTGCTCTCCCTTCACCCCCTCTACCCTTCCCTATTTGCAAAGACTTTGTTTCCATTTTTTCCTTTTCTCGTATTTTTTCTTTTCCCTTTTTTCCTTTCCCCTACCCCTCCACTTCCCCTGCTCCTTTAGACCTTTACTTCCTATTACACAATATCAATTATACATTTTTAAAATTAAAATATCAAGACCTAGGAGACATTACCACAGATTTCACAGAATTTAAAAGGATATAGAAAGCATATTACAAAAATCTGTTTTGAAATAAATTTGACAACCTCTAAGAAATGCCTTGGAAGACAAATTAATGAAACTAACTCTGGAGGAAATATAAAATTTGAATAGCACCTATTAAAGAAAGGATATTCCTAGCTTGAAAACCTACCTATATGACAACAGCAACGCCTGCTTATTTTCTTGTTCTCACCTGGACAGCTGGGGCTGTGCACGGGGTGGCAGGTGCTATGTGCCTTTCTTGGACCGGCAGTGCTGAGTGGACCCAACTGACTCTGTATCTCTTTCTTCTGCAGTTGTCCGAGGCTCCATCCAGGATGTCACCCATGTGCCAGAACACCAGGAGTCTGTCATCCACCTGTGGGTGAGCAGGCTCTACCGGCAGAAAAGCAGGGTCTTCCAGCTGGCTCCCGAGGGGAGTGGACACTGGCAGGGCCATGTCACAACGCTGCTGGAGTGTGGTGTGCGGCCGGGGCATGGGGACTTCCTCTTCACCGGCCATATGCACTTCGGGAAGGCGCAGCTTGGCTGTGCCCCTCGCTTCAGTGACTTCCAAAGGATGTACAGGGACGCAGAGGAGAGGGGGCTGAACCCTTGTGAGATTGGCACCGAGTGAGCGGCAGGGGCCTGGGTGCTGCCCACCTTCTGAGGAGCTCCTGCTGGCCCTAGTGGTGGAGGGCTGGGGCCGGGGCTGTAGGCCAGGTGCTGTTCTGGCCTGGCTGCCAGCTGTGGAGGTACGTGCTGCTCCAGCCCCACGAGGTCCTAGCCACGCAGGCCCTGACTGATTGGAAATGCTGTAAAATGCAAACTAAGTTATTATTTTTTTTGTAAAAAAGAATGTCCATAGGAAATGCTCCTGTGTCTGAAGATGCCTGCGTGTGCCGTTCAGTACTGTGTTTTAAAATCACCCTAAGCCACTGCACTGGCCTGGGTGTTGGTGAGGGGCCGGGTGTGGGTGTGCACAGCGTCAGTGAAGCCCGCACACCGTTCAGAGCTGTTGTTCCTGTGACTGGAATTTACGGGGCCAAATGTGTACGTCTCCTTTTGTTGTTGTCCTGTTTTGTTTTCGCTTTTTGAAGAACAAGCTCTGGTGCCGTGGGCTTCCCAGGCTGCAGACCATGTCTGCTGCAGGGAATAAAGACCAGATCTGACCCACAGTGGTGTCTCTCAGCTCGGTTGGCTGGGTGTCCAGCCAGGCCTTTTCTTCCTGGGCCTGGGGGCCCTTGCTGGACGCGTCCGGAGGACACTGCCTGGCCTCGACACACTCCCTGCCCTGTTCCCCGCCGGTCACTGTTCCCGTCAGCCCTGCCCAGATTCTTTCTGTTAGCTCTGATCTTGCTCTTCGGCCTCAGTGTCCCCCGAATGCCTGAGCCCACAGCAAGTCTGTGGTCTGGGCCAGGGCCAGTGCCCCGTGACCTCCAGGGATGTTAGGTGTTTGTGGCTATCATGACAAGTTGCCACACTCTGAGGGGCTTGAACAGCAGATATTAGTTCGCTCACAGATCGGAAACCAGAATCCAAAATCAGTGTGTGGCAGGGCCGTGCGTCCCCTGATGGCTCCAGGGCAGGGTCCTCTTTTGTCTGTCCAGCTTCTGGTGGCTCTAGGTGTCCTGGCTTGTGACTGAACACTCCAATCACTGTCTCCACGTCCCCAGGGCTTCTCCCCTGTGTGGACCCTGTTCATGTCTCTCTCTTATAAGGACACAGTCACTGGGTCAGGACCTACTCTAATGACCTTGTCCCAACTTCTTTAGATTGGCAGAGACCCCATTTCCAACTGAGGTCACATCCAAAGGTTATAGACAGACCTGAAATGCGCAGGGGGCCATTCACCGAGGGTGGGGGATCCTAGGTGGCAGGTAAGCAGACCACACTTGTGTGCTCATTTGTGAACCAGGTGGCTCATCCCACCCAGAGACCGAGTCCATCCAGGGATGAGAGCGAGGCAGGTGTAGCCACCGAGTGCCATGCGGCCTCACACTGGGCACACTGGGCGGTCTTGGGAGGCACTGGCATCAATCGGTTCAGGTCCGTGCCGGCTCAAGTGTGTATCCGCTCAGGCGTGCACGAGGTCAGATGTATGCCAGCTCAGATTGTGCCAGCCCAGGTCTGCCGCCTCCCACAGGTTACAACAAGAAGCAGGTGCCAGTGGGCAAGAGCGTAAGGCAGCAGGGCTTGAGACGAGCCTGGCCCCGTTTGGCTGGTAACTGTGGCACTGTGTCAGCAGGACAGGTCCCAGCCCAGAGGGGCCAGGCCGGAGCCAGAGGAAGTCGAAGCCGTCCTGGTTCCTGCTTCCAGGTGGCTCCAGTGGTGTCCGGGAGGAAGCTGTGGAGCGGGAAATGCAGGTTTGGCAGCCTGCTGTCCTTACGGGAGGTTAGGGTACGCTGGGAGACTGATGGATGTGTTTCCATTAGACTAATGACTAGTGTCTGATGGATGGCAGAGCCTCCCTGGGAAGCCGGGGAAGAAGTACCCTCCTTCTCGAGGCCAGGCTGGGGTTGGCCAAGGGGTCCAGGAGGCCACAGAGTGCCGACCCAACAGGTCGGTAAAGATGGGCATTTTCCGTGGCCTTGGCTCCTGGAGTCAGGGAGGAGCCAGGGAGTCCTCGTGTCCGCTGCTGCCCACCACTTCCTCTCCACTTTATCCAACAACAGCCACCATCCTCCACCCAAGTCCTCCTGGAGAAGCCACCGAGGGAGGGACCCGGGGAGCCACCCCTGCACGGAGGGTCTCCAGGGGTCCTGTGCTGCAGCGGCCTCTGCCTCGCCATCTGCTCGCCTCCACGGTGCCGGTGCCGCATGAAGCTCACACAGCCCCGTGACCAGGCGGAGGGTGGGGACCATCTCTCCCCCAGCCAGGCTGCAGATGCCTCCGCCCCCCCCAGCTCCCCTGGCCGTCTGCACTGTCCCCTGCACTGAGTCTGTGCTGTTCTGTAGGAAACAGCAGAGGCTGTCATGCTTCTTTTACTTCCTCGTCCCCACTGCTGCTTGGGGAGCCAAGCCTCACTTGCTGTCTGTCTGGCTCAGCTGTGTCCCTCGTGAGGTCCTAGAGGGTGTGCACCTGGCCCAGGCCTGAGGCTTCTCGGGGGTGCGGGACTCCTTACTACGATCCTGGGGCAGAGGAGCCCAGCTCGAGCCGCTTGATCCTGGGGAAAGTCATTTGGCTCCGTCCTCCCCACTGGACCCCGGGGCAGCCTCCCCTCTCCTCCCCATGACCCCTCTGGGCCCATGTGTGTCAGAGACGGGGCCTCAGGGATGTGCAGATCCTGGCCCCCAACTCTTTCCATTCACTGGATGTCCCCAGGGGTTCAGACCCCCACCCCCATAGATCACATTGCCCTTGGTCATGCCCTGGGCTATTTCCACGTGGGCCACTGGGATCAGTCTGCGCCAGATGTGAGTGCCTGGTCCCTGCTGGCTCCACGTGGAGCCGCCCCAAGGGTGCAAGCTGAGGCAGGATGCCCGGGCTGCCTGGCACTGGGTCCTGCCCTCCTGGGGAGGTAGGTGGCCATCACCCTAAACCTGCTGATGAGTGAATCCTGGGGGTAGAGAAGGGAGGAGGTGGGCACGGAGGGTGTGGGCATGTGGGCCCAGAACTCCAGTTACCTGTGCCGGCTGAGTTGAGCATCACAGGGAGGTTAAGTGGCAGGAAGGGGCAGGAGTGTCCTGAAGACCTGTCGGTGCCCTGCTGTTGGCTCCGAGGCGCCTGTCTGGCCACTATCAGGGCCAAGAAGAAGGAAGGACCTTCAGCCTTGCAGGGACCACGGCTTTTCCGACAGATACACGAGATACATATCCCATTGCCCTGGAGGCTGATCTTGGGCTTTGGAGCTGCCCCGTGCTGCTGTGGGCCTGTGGGTCTTCTTAAGGCAGGGGCACCCTGGTCCTGCCCCAGGGACTGGGGCAGCTGGACCAGCACTCTGACAGCAGGTCCCCTGCTCTGCCACATCCGTTGGCCTGGCTCCCGGGCTGGGCCGGAGTCGACAAGTCTCCAGTGTTGCCACCGACGCCCTGCCCTACCCTTTGCTTTGGGGTCTCCTTGGGAGTGCAAATACAGGGTGGCCAGGGAAAGAAGTCCAGCACCCAGCCCTTTCCTAGATTTGCAGTGATTCCTCTGCTTCTTGCCATCAGGTCTGAGGAGAATGCTTGCTCACTGGGAGTCTCCTGTTGGCAGTGTGCATTTCCAATTCCTGGTGACCGTGTTTCTGTGTCTGTGACCTGAATCTGCTCTACCGTCTGCGGGGTCCCGGTGTCCTCTCCTCATCCCCGAAGCCTCACAAGCAGAGGGGAGTGACGCTGCTCATCAGATGGACAATGACTCTGTGCCCTCCGGGGGCCCCACAGGATCATGGGTCCTGAGAACAGAAGAGGTGGACAGGGGGACCTGGAGAGCTGCCATGCTGAGAGGACCAGGAGAGGGCCAGGAGAGGGCCAGGAGAGGGCCATGGGCACAGCGGCGCAGCACAGGTGCCCCCAGCAGCTGGCAAAGGCCCAGAAACAGGCCCCGGCCTCCACACCTCAGGCTCAGGCCTCCACTGGGGTCGGACCGCTGACTCCACACAGTGCCGCAGGATGCTGGGTGACACTAAGCTGCCACAAACCTCACTGCGGGCCGGGCGGGCTGGGGGCCCACTGGCCCCCGGTGCTTGCAATGCTGGCTCTGCGTGTGGTTTTGCTCGTCCCTTTATCACAGCCTCGAAGTCAGGATGGCCCCGTTCAGACTTCTGCTGCAGGGCAGCGGTGTGAGGGTGCTGGCCTCCTTTTCTCCTGCGCGTGTGCTGGTGTGTGTCCTGAGTGTGCAGGGTGATGTGTGTGCTCTTGACAAGGCAGCAGCAGGCCTGCTGGTGGCAGGGAGGGTCCCCTCGCCCTGCCCTCCCTGTGACCTGGGCTCCTGGGAATTCTGTGTCCTTGTCCACGAAGCGAGGCTTCATCCTTCCCAGCTGTCGTGCGGGCTTTGCCCCACACGGAGGACCTGCCTGGCACCATGGCAGGTCTGGAAGTAAACCTGCAGGGAGGGCTGGGCAACGCAGCCAGGCGTCCAGCAGGGCTGCAGGGCTGGGCTCCTAGACCCTCTCCTGGGGCTGCGGCTGCCGGCAGGACCTGCCTAGCACCAGAGCAGGCTGTGGGTCCCACGGGTGGGGGTGGGGCACCCTCATTAGTGCTGCAGCTGACACCGAGGAGGCTGCGTCTCACTAATTGATTAAACTGTTCCATGCAGCTCTGCCTGGTGGGAACTGGCCCCAGCAGGCTGCTCGGCTCCCTTCTGCAGAGTGAAGTTCGGCGTTTTCTTCACAGATAACAGTTTCAGAGTGGGTGGGGATGGGTGCTGTTGGCTGGCCTGGGTGGCCCCTGCCCTTGGCTGCCTGCTCTCTGCTTTTGCAGGTGGTGAAGGTGCTGGAGGAGCTGCAGGGCTGCTGCACCTGTGACTCACTGGGCCGGTGCAGCACGTGCCCGAGTCCCAGGCTGGGGAGCTGCACGTGGGGCGAATGGTCTTCAAGGGGCTGCTTGGGCACAGGTGGGAGGAAGGGCATTGGCCGGCGTCAGAGCTCTGTGCAGAGGCCGGAGGAAGCTGCCTTGGGCGCCACACACTGCAGGCGCACTCGGCCAGGGCTCTCCTGGGTTTCTGCTCCTGAGATCCCAGCCTCCTCCTCTCTCCGGGGGGCATCACCTAGCACCCTCCCCCCGCCTTTCCACTGAGATGCAGGCTTTGGTCCTGGGAGAGGACGGAGCCTCGGTTTCCGTGTGCAGCCTGGTGCACTTGGGTGCCTGGGATGTGCGGGCTGCCCATGGTGGTGCTCGGACCCTTCCCTTCCTGAGGGGCTTCCCCGGGCTTGCTCAGCCCTGTGGGGGCTTTGTCCACCCGCACTGCGTCACAGGTGAGTGTCCAGTGAGAGGGACAGACGAGCAACAGGAGATCGTGACAGGTGGCGCTGGCAGGGGGGCTCACGGTGCAAACCAGGGCCGGGCAGGGGGTGCAGACCCGCAGGGTGCGGAGGCCCTGGGCAGGGCTTGGCCCTGGGGGGATGCTTTCCGGGGGACTCGTGGTTGCCTTCGGGCAGCAGGGGGCTGGGGGCCCTGGCCTCTCCACTCCCAGGCTCCTGTGCAGTGGCCACGTGGGGGACGCTGGGGAACGTGAGGAATCCGGCGTCAACACTGGG